GTTTTCTTTATGTTGAGATGTAATCCATACTGCAGACTGTATTCTTCAACCTTCATCAGCAGGTGCCTTAAGTCATCCTCACTTTCAGCAAGCAAGGGACAATTAGACCATGCAAACCTCAGCCTATATGACCATGAGACCAGAAGAACTAGATGGTGCTGGGCTACCACTGTCAACCACTTGGAAAGGGATCAGAGGAGGAGATCCTGGATAGAGTGGGAGAACAATGTGGAACAAAATGCAAAACAAAAAACCCACCAGGTTTCTTGGTCTGATAGAACCTGGTGAGACCCCCAACACTATGGCCCCTAGTTACCCTTCAGGTCTGGAACTGAACTCAAGCCCATGGTTTCCAGCCAAACAAGAGACAGGCATATGAGGCAAACATTTACATCAGGTAGATACATTCTTTACAAAGATCAATCACGGGGGAAAAGAAGGGTGGTATTTGCACAGGGATATAGCTGAGGGGGCAGGAATGCATAGGAAATTAGGACACAGGGGAGAGGCAACTACAGGGGAAAAGTGGGAAGAGAACAGTTACACTGTGGGGAATTGCAGTCAATATCATGAAACAAAAGGTGTACGAACTGCTATACAGAAAATGAATTCGCTCTGTAAACTGTCACCCAAATAAAAATTTAAAAAGAAAAAGAAAATTAAGGTTTTGTTGGACATTTTTCAGACTTGTTTAGTGAATCTGGAAGTAACTCTTTTATGTTGTTTTTGTGTAGAAAGGTACCCTGTATACCATATAAAAGGAAAACATTTGAGTAAATGACATTTGATACAAACTGTACTTAAGAGGTCAGAAGTACATAGAAGTTACACTTAAACACAGACTTAGGGGCTGAACTTGTTCACCATCTGAGGACTGCTGGTATTATTACAAACAATTTAACACAAAAATGAAGGGGGAATAATGATTGCAGACTTCCCATTAATATAGGGGAAATGACTATAATACAAAATACCATTTGGCAAACACCACAATAATGAGAGACAATATCAAAATATCAAAGGATACTAAAATTAGTATGCCAAGGTATGATGAAAAACAGTATTTGCACAGTCTCTGAGAAGCTTATATAAATATTATATAAATAAAGCTTATACATAAGTAATTATAAAAGGGGAAATATTGAGCTTCACAGCAGAAAAGACTAGAAGGAAATGTATTAAATATGAAAACACATAAAACCACTTACAAATATATTTAATTTTACATAAAATAACATCAATAAAAACAATGAAGTAAATACAAAATAATATTTGCTGAAGGCTTTTCCTTCCAGGCTCATTTATACCACCAAGGAACTTTAAGAAAGGAACAATAAGCTAAGACTGAGAAAACAACACATACTGATGAGGACAGACCCACCATTAGGATGAAACTGTCCTCTCTCCCAAAGGCAAAAGGTCTTTTCTTTGAAATGGTATCGCTTCTTACTGAGAATTTCTGTTTGCTAACTGCAGACATTCAGAAGTTTTGTGTCCAAAATTGTAGCCGTAAGCATAAAATATCCCATTTTTAATAGTCTCTCCAATTCTTACAAGTGAACTAAAATGTCAGAAATCCCTAAAGGCTTTCTCACATTTCTTATGCCCATAAGGCCACTCTACTGTGTGATCTTCTATTTCTAGAAGGTTTGAGGCCTGATTAAAGGCCTTCCCACATTCCTAACTGTTTTGGTTCCCCAGTGCTGCTCTGACAAGAATATACCACAAAAGGGATGCCTTGAACAAACAGGAGTTTATTCTCTTACAGATTGGAGGCTTCAAATCTGAGTTCAAAATACCAGGCTCTAGGGGCTGAGTGAAAGTCCCTCACCCTTGGGCTTTAGCTCTGCTTTCTGCCCCACTGAAGTGAAAGGCTTTTCTTCACTCAAGACAGCTGCTGGCTTCTGAGACTGACAAGCCCAAGGTTGACAAGTAAAAAGGCACAGTCCTGATGTTACCAAACCACATGGCAGACCAATAATTCAAGTCCATTAAAAGTCCCATGGTTGGCAGAGCATGCCAGGCTGTTGAACAATAACATGGCTACATGCAGGGTTTAAGCGTGCCATAAGCGAGAGACCATTCCCAAAAACGTCTCCTTATATACAGGAAGCAGACCATATGCCTAAAGCAGCCACTCAGCTGCTAACAGTAGATTCCACCATGGAGTTGATTACCAGTCTCGACATGGGGAATAGTACATCCAGCTGCCCAGCCACTCAACCAGGCCCTGCCAAGTTGACATATAACCTTAACTACCACACTCACATTCATAGAGCCTCTCCCCACTGTATATTTTCACATGGGTGGTGAGCTATAAAGAAAATAAGCCTTCACACATTTCTTAAAATCATCAAGTGTCTGCATCGAGTTACATTGACAGAGAGAAAAGGAATGACTAAAGGCTCTTCCACAGTCCTTACACTCACATGGTCTCTTTCCACTAGCATATTGATGAGGTGTGAGGTTTGCTTGAAGGTTTTCCCACAGTCTTTACATACATAGTGAGTTTCTCCACTGAGTGCTTGTATGTTGACTGAGCTGAGAGCAATGCCTAAAAGTTTCCTTTCTCACATTCCTTACTCAAAGGCCTCTCTACAGTGTGAAGTCTCTCATGTCCACTGAGGTTTGAAACTTGTTTAAAAGCTTTCCCACATTCCTTACATTCATAAGGCCTCTCTACATGGTGAATTCTTTTATGTGCAGTGAATGATGATGAATCACTGAAGGCTTTCACACATTGTTTACATTCTAAGGTTTGCCTTCACTGGGAGTTCTTCCATGTCTAATGAGGGATGAGGAATTACTAAAGGTGTTCCTACATTCCTTACACTCATAAGGTCTCTCTCTTCTGTGAGATCTTATATGGACAGTGAGATGTAAGACATGACTAAAACCTTTCCCACATTCCTTACATTCATAAGGCCACTCTCCATTGTGAGTTCGTCTATGCTTAGTAAGGCATGAGAAACAACTAAAGGCTTTCCCACACTGCTTACATTCACAGAGCGCATCTCTTCTGTGAGACATTATATGGACAATGAGACATAAGGCAGGATTAAAATCTTTCCCACATTCCTTACATTCATAAGACCTCACCACTGTGACTTCTTCTATGTATTTTGAGGGATGAGACATGACGGAAGGTTTTCCCACATTCCTTGCATTCATAAGGTCTCTCCCCACTGTGACTAAGCATATGTCTAGTGAGATGTGAGGCACGACTAAAACCTTTCCCACATTCCTTACATTCATAAGGCCTCTCCCCACTGTGACTGTGCATATGTCTAGTGAGATGTGAGGCACAAGTAAAACCTTTCCCACATTCCTTACATTCATAAGGCCTTTCTCCACTGTGAGTTCCTCTGTGTCCACTAAGGGATGAGGAACAACGAAAGGATTTCCCACATTCCTTACATATGTAAGGCCTCTCTCCACTGTGAATTCTTCTATGTACAGTAAGGGTTGAGGAACAACTAAAGGCTTTCCCACATTCCTTACATATATAGGGCCTCTCTCCACTGTGAGTCCGCATATGTGTAGTGAGGGATGAGGCATGCATAAAGGCTTTCCCACATTCCTTACATTTATAAGGCCTCTCTGCACTATGAGTTCTTCTATGTTTAGTAAGGGATGAGAAACAATTAAAGGCTTTTGCACATTGCTTACATTCATAAGACCTCTCTCCTCTGTGAGTTCTTACACGGACAGGGAGACAAGAGGCATGACTAAAACCTTTCCCACATTTCTTGCATTCATAAGGTCTCTCCCCACTGTGACTTCGCATATGTCTAGTGAGATTTGAGGAACAACTAAAACCTTTTCCACATTGCTTACATTCATAAGGTCTCTCCCCACTATGAATTCTCGTATGTCTAGCGAGATGTGAGGCACAACTAAAACCTTTCCCACATTCCTTACATACATAAGGTCGCTCTCCACTGTGAATTCTTCTATGTACAGTAAGGGTTGACAAACGAATAAAGGCTTTCCCACATTCCTTACATTCATAAGGCCTCTCCCCAGTGTGAGTTCTTGTATGTTCAGTAAGGGATGAAGAACAACTAAAGGTTTTCCCACATTGCTTACAGTCATAGGGCCTCTCTCCTCTGTGGGTTCTTACATGGACAGGGAGACATGAGGCATGACTAAAACCTTTCCCACATTCCTCACATTCATAAGGCCTCTCCCCATTGTGACTTCGACTATGTCTGGTGAGATGTGCGGCAAGCCTAAAACCTTGCCCACATTCCTTACATTCATAAGGCCTCTCCCCACCGTGACTTCGCCTATGTCTATGGAGGGATGAGGCATGACTAAAGGCTTTCCCACATTCCTTACATATGTAGGACCTCTTTCCACTAGGAGCAGTTTTATGTTCACTGAGGTAAGAAGAGTGACTAAAGGCTTTCCGAGAGTCTCTACTTTTATAATGAGTTCTTTCATGTGTGATGAGGTTTGAGGAACACCTAAAAGCTTTTCCACACTGTGTACATTCATAAGGCCTCGCCACACTGTGAGTTCGCATATGTCTGGTGAGGGATGAAGAAAAAGAAAAAGCTCTCCCACATTCCTTACATACAAAATGCTTATCTCTGTTATGAGATTTTTTATGTGAAATGAGGGATGAAGGACGACTAGAGTCTTTACAATGTGGTTTACATTCAGGCTCATGACCTTTCACAGGCATCCTACAGGATGACAAACTACAGGGATCTTTCCCACATTTCTGACCTTCACAGAGCTCCTCACCAGTCAGTGTTGTCACAGGATCCTTAAGGGTTGATGTACAAATCAAGTCCTTCCTACATATCTTACATCTATGGGGCTTCTTTCCATGAAGAGTTCTCATAGGAGAGGTTAGGTGGGAGGGACAACCTTCCTCACACTGACAGGAAATACATCCAGTCGGAGATCGGGCAGGATCCTCATGGGATGAGTGACGCATGAAGACTTTTCTACATTCAGAGTGTTCCAAAGGCTTCACTTCTGGAAGATTTCTTGGTAATCTAGGCAGATTTGGAATACAGCTGGAAGTTTTCCCACACAGATCACCTTCATGACTTTCACAGAGGTTCTCTACTGTACAACTTCTGTTAAAAATAGGCAATATGTTGTTGGAAACAAATTGATTCTCATTTCACCATCACCAAACATAGTGAATGTACAGGTTTTTCCTTGACCTACCTAATGTTTCATAGGTTAAATATTCTAGCAGAAATATTACCACTAAGCCCACGGTTTTTCTAACGTAGGTTTTTGGATCGTTTCCAAGTCAAATGTTTCAAATTTCTGAAATCTGAATTACATTATGAAAATGTATGGTAAAATTCTCTCAATCTGTCATCACACTCAGTTAACGTATACACATATGTACATATACATTAGTATGTCTTAGGCTTTCAAACAGATTTGTAATGGTTCTGCATTTGCAGATATAAGCAAAGGCAGCTTACATATTGCATAGCAACCAAATCTGTTACCCTTCAGATTTTGACCCAAGTGGGAAACAAACAAGGAGTTCTGGTGGCGCATTGCTTAACATATTTGACTGCTAACCAGAAGGTTGGAGGTTCAAACCCACCAGCCATTCTGCGGAAGCTTCCTCCCTGGGCAATCTACTTCTGTAATGATTTACCACCTCAGAAATCCAATGAGGGTCACTCTGAATAACAATTGACTGAATGGGAGTACATTTGGTTTTTGTTTGGTAGTATTTTTCCAGCCACTCAACCAGGCCCAGCTAAGTTGATACACAAACTTAACTACCACAGGTAGGAAACAAGCAGCTTGACCACACTGAAAGATGGTGGACAACCATGTAGATTTCAATCTGTATGACCTTCTACACTACTCCCAATGATCCAATCTCCCACACATATACGGAAAGTTTCAGGAGCCTGATCAGGTGTATCTGATTAATGGGAAGATGATGGAGAGGGATACACAGTTAAACGAGCACAGCTGGCTGTCATGTTTGAGCAGAACACCTATGACTGTTTCCTACTTGGGGCAAAATCCAATGGGCAACTGATATGGTTGATATGCAACGTGTACACGACCCTTGTTTAGACTAGCAGTTACTAAACCATTACAAAGTGGTACGAAGGCTTGGTATACAGACATACAGATATATACATACTATATATATATATATATATATATAATATGTATATACATGTTCATAATAATGCCATGACATCATAGGATTTTCTCCTGAGGCATTCTTCTCTCGTTTGAATGATTCTCACCTCAAACGTCTTCCCTGGTTGTTATGTTGCTCTTTACTGCTGTACAATTTTGAGAATTCTCCCAACATGGAGGACCAGGTGCTATTCTTCATTAATTGTAGCGTGATACTTTCACTAGAAAACTTTTTTCCATCAGTTACGCTTTGAGAGGCTGACCAAATCATTCAAGTTGAAGATCACAACATGAAACAAAAAGGAAGGAATTATTAAGGAAAGAAAGGCTGCTGTGAACAAAGACAGACTGTGGTATCTAAGTTTGTATGCCAACTTGGTTGGGCCTAGCTGAGTGGCTAGGCACCTGGTGGTAGTTGTTCCCCATGAGGAGACTGGAAATCAACTCCATGATAGAATCTACTGTGAGCAGGTGAGTAGCTGCCTTAGGGATGTGGTCTGCTTCCTGTATATAAGGAGAAGCCTTGGGGAATGGTCTCCAGCTTATGGCACGCTCGAACCCTGCATGTAGCCGAGTCATTGTTCAGCACCTACCCTTCTCTACCAATGTTGGGACTTTTAGTGGACTTGGCCTGCCGTGTGGTTTGGAAACATTGGGACTGTGCCTTTTTACTTGTCAACCTTTGGCTTGTCAGCCTTAGTAACCAGCACCTGAGTGCAGAAAAAGCTTTCAGCTTCAGTGGGCCAGGAACAGGAGGCAGAGCTGAAGTCCAAGGTTGAGGGGCTTTCACCCAGCAGCCAGAGCCTGGCACTTTCAACTCAGACTTAAAGCTTCCAAATTGTAATATAATAAACTCCTGTTCTTCACGCCATCCATTTCTGGTATCTTCTGTGTTCTGGTTACCTAGTGTCGCTCTGGTAAGAATATATATCACCAAAAAAAAAAAAAAAAAGAATATATATCACAAATGGGATGGCCTTACCAAACAGGACATTACTCTTACAATCTGGAGGCTTTAAGTCCAAGTTCAAAGTGCCAGGCTCTAGCAGCTATGTGACAGCCCCACGACCTTGGGCTTCAACTTGGCCTCTTGCTCCAAGCCCACTGAAGTAAAGGTATCTCTTCACTCAGGCAGCTACTGGCTGCTGAGGCTAACAAGCCCCAGGTTGACAAATAAAATGGCACAGTCCCGAAGTTAGCAAACGACATGACAGGCCATTAGTTTAAGTCTAAGAAAGTCCCAAGGTTGGCAGAGCATGGCAGGCAGCTGAACAACGACATGACTGCATGCAGGGTTCAAGCATGCCATAAGCTAGAGCCCATCCTGTGGGGAATAACTACATTCAGCTGACCAGCCACTCACCAGGCCCAGCCAAGATGACACACAAACAAAACTACCACATTCTGTTACAGCGCCACTAAGGAACCAGAACACAGACTTAGCCGCTTTCAAATTTTCAACCCTTTGAAAGTGGATACAAAGCAAGTTAGCAGCACATACTTCCCTTAGGAGTGAGAGGGATGTTCGCACAAGTATGTGTTATCAGAACACATAAGTAGAAAGTTACTGGACATGGTACACGTGTAACATTACAACAGCCAAAAGGTTTCCAGGACATGAGGTGTGAGAGGACAGCTCACGTGAGAAAAGTAAGCTCAGGTATCCGTTAATGTGTGTCCACAACCCAAAGCCGACTTCTCTTCTTCAGGCTGCTTGATTCAAACAGAATGCCCTCCATGCAGGGCTGGTCCTTCACACAATTCTGGCTTTCCCAGTGCTTGCCAACACAATGGCTCTGGAGGAGTCCTATCACTACTGCTTCCAGATCATTCTTCCCTTGCTTTATTTGGAAACAAATGGGAAGAGCTGACACGCTGCTCACGGAGAAACATGTCTCATGAGGGAAGACCATGAGGAGCCATGAGCATTTCCTACTCATGAGACAATACTCTGCCCTTCAGGGTGTCTGAAGATAAGACAGTGAGTTTATTTACAGCAAAGTCATTAACTCAAACATGAAATTAATATAGTGAAATTCACTATAAGGTCTCCAATCACGAATCTAGTGTTGCAAAGTGAACCTCCAAGTGAAAGATTGTCATTACAATACTTAAACAGCCTCTGGACTTCTAATCACAAGAGAAATAAAAACTTCACTTCAATGCACAGAGCTTTTTGTTTATAAGGTGCTCTGGTGGCACAGTGCCTAAGCATTTAACTGTTAACCAGAAGGCTGGAGGTTCAAAGCCACCAGCTGCTTCTCAGAAGATGATTGGGCAATCGACCTATGTAGAGAGAGTGCTTCAGGAATCCAAGAAGGGGTTACTATTAGTTGGAATCAACTCGCTGACAGTGAGGTTTTTTTTTAACTGGTGGCACAGTGGATAAGGCATTTAACTGATAACCAGAAGGTTGGCATTTCAAACCCACCAGCACCAGCCACTCCATAGGAGGAATATGGGACAATCAACTTCCACAAAGATTTACCACAGGGAAGCCAGGATGTGTGAGTTTCATAGACCAAGGGACCATACCTGTTTTATTAAAAAATGTATTCCCATTCCTGAACCCAAATACTGAAGGAAAGTCAATGACTAAAATATCTTTGTTCACTAAAACAATAATGAAAAAAAAAAAAAAATCGTGCATTCTTACCCACGGAGGCAAGGTTTCTCAAGGTTTCTTTCATGACATCTCTGTAGAGTTTCCTCTGAGAAAGATTCAGCAAAGCCCACTCTTCCTGGGTAAAGACCACAGCCACATCCTCCACGACCACTGAGTCCTAAAAAATCCCATACATTCTGGATCAGGAAGGTACCATGGACTCCACTGTGTACAAGAACAAAGAGTGAGGCTGACGGAGAATGGAGTGTTCACAGGGACCTGAAACAACGTCCTGTTTTCCATCAATCTGAAGCATGAAGCACAGCCGTCAGCTGCATCCCTTCCCTAACTCCACTCACTTCCTCACTGATTGCTTTCTCTCTGCCAGACTAACAACACACTAACATCACCCCACCACTGCTCAATGGCAGCCTCCTTTCTCTCTGTTCATTCTCCAGAATAGTCAGACCTAAAGACCGGTCCCTGCCAGGTTTGACCGGCCCATAAAACGTAAGAAAAGGAGTTATCAGTTGTGCACAAACGAGGCCACCCCTGACAGTAGGATCCAGCCTGGAGAAGGTGAGCACAGGGCCTAGGAAAGCACAGGGCAACAGGGAGACAGCTCGGGGTCGGGAGAGCATGGGAGGGAAGGACACAGGGAAGAGGGAACTACGGGGAGGAAGTGGGCAGAGAGCGGGTGCACTGGGGGGAATTCCAGTCAATGTTATCAAACAAAATGTGTATGAACTGTTGTAAGGAAAAGGAATTTGCTCTGTAAACTTTCACCCAAATCGCAATTAAAAAAAAGGAGGGTGCCAAAGGTTCCATGCATGCAGACCCATAGGGGAGGGGGAGGTACATGCTAGAGTCACTCAGGGCTCTGCTGAATTACAAACTTCAGCTTGGTTCCCTAGTGCCACTCTGACAGGAATATACCATAAACGGGACGGCCTTAACAAACAACAGTTTATTCTCTTACAGTTTGGAGGCTTTAAGTCCGAGTTCAAAGTGCCAGGCTCCAGTGGCTGGCTGAAAGCCCCTCAGCCTTGGGCTTCAATTCTGCCTCCTGCTCCTGGCCCACTGAAGCTAGAGGCTTTTCTTCACTCAGACGGCTGCTGGCTGCTGAGACTGACAGGCTCAAAGCAGACAAGTAAA